TTTTTCAACAATTAAACAACCTGTACTCAACTAATAAACTGTGTTAGCGCTACTTTGGAAGCTATTTTACAGTCAACTAGGTTTATTTTTAGATGTGTGCAGTTTTACAGCTTTTACTCTGCTTCATTACAAAGCTGAATTAAGTAGCCGAGAAAAGTGATTCATGTGCACTATTATCAACAATCAATACGAAACTAACGATTTTAAATTGGCTCACCACTTTAGTAGCCTATTGGTCCCAAGCAAACGATTAACGTACCCTATTCTAGTCAAAATTCTAGTACTACGCAATGTTTGTTTTGATTCGCTATGAAAGTTTGACAGATAAAATGAGGGGTTATTGATTTTTCCTATGTTTCGAGGGGTGAATCGATTAGCTTGGGACCGAAGAGAGTACCAGAAATGAGCCAAAAAGTTGAGCACGTTATTTCGGGACCTTCTAGTCTTAGAGTTACCTCTATGCTATTATAAAGCCTCTACTCAGCAGTCTTGTTGTAGAAGGGGGTGAAGGGCATGCATATTTGCTAACGTCAGTTTAAAGTGTTGGCGGAGCGATGTTGGTAGTATCAAGGTTCGCCAATGCGGTCCTCTCGATTTCGATTCCAGGTTCCGGTACAGTGTAAATAATTTGGTGGTGTGCTTATAACTAATTCCGATTAATTTGATTAGCAGTAAAATAATCATGATAAATTCCTCCAACAAAAAAAAAAAAGCGTAAACAATATCTAACCTGGCGTCAAGAGAAAGCTGTGTAGTGATAATTGGATAATCGGGTAAAGGTTGAGTAAGCGCCTTTCAAGTTCACACACAACTAAACAGCAGGATAACAGCTGTATAGAAGAGTAAATAGATATGCAATAAGAACTTGTCCCAACCGTTATCATACATCAAAATTGAAAAGTATGTTTAAAGTACCAAACAACTGGGAAAATTTCATACATTTTTAGTGTTTTTAGGTTAAAAATTATCATAACTGTTAATTTATGTGTTCTACAAAAGATTCTCCATTCAGTTCCCTAGATCTGTGTCTTTGGTAGTAATCTTGTAAGATTTATAGTTTCTTTGAAATTATTGATTTAAAACACCAATGAAAACTTGTGACGTTTTCTTAAAATGCGCTGTGGGTACCCTATTCGTTCGTACGTTCGGCTGTTGCAGTCCAATTGGCTAGAATATTATTGCAAATGTTGTGATACATTCTTAACTTTCGATTACCGCACATCGTCTGCGTCCCCTCCTTCCACTAAATGTCTATACATGGCCGTAGGAATGGTAGGAATGCACGACGAAGAGAATCTGTCAATGTTACTTTCAACCTAGTCCATTGATCGGTTTGAAATGTGATATATTTAGTTACATGGGGGAGGGGAGTATAAAACTGCCATTTTTGGGTTACCTTAAATTGTGAACGGACCCTAAGTGGTTCTTATGGAATCCTTAGGTTGATTTGCCTCAGTGTATTTCCATCTATTACTAAACTGAACCGGCTCGATATCATTTGATTAGAAGAGAGCTGGTGATACAATTAATTTCACCCTTGAAGCATACCACCACCATTAAACAAATTGGCTAATAGTGATAGAAATTGTTATTGATATGAAACTGTTATTGTTATTGCTCAGCTCACACCCTGGCCGACTATCGCCCGCCCATCTGCACTTAAGCTAGATATGAACCAATCCTCTGCCAAGAAGGAGGGTTGCTGAAGCCACCACCATTGGTGGTGTCAGCACTGAAGCCTACAGTATGCGTATGCGTTAAAAAATCTTATGTGAATAATCATTAATGAATCTTGAATTTTTCGTGATTAACTTGCCGAATTTAAAAATTAATATTATAATTCTTTTATGTACGCGCTTGTTGAACATTTATCACGATTAGTTTTATACGCAACAAATCAAACATCTATGTGGACGGAGAATAATTTCGTAATGTTTGCATCAGCTGTCTTAGATTGACAGATAATCGAGCCAAAGAACCAACAACTTTGGCTTCAAGCAAAATGTTGTTGGATGACGTTTCTGCCACCGAAGTGGTATGAACCTACGGAAATTTTGATCGTGGCCTATTATAGACCGTATATCATAACGACTTTCTTCCACCAGCAGGCCTGTTGCTCCGGTAGGCAGTCCCACTATCTTCAGATTTGTAGTGGATAGTAAGAGAATAAAATAATAGAGAAGAGTGATAGAGTATTTGTTGTTTTTCTGAAAAGAGAAGAACAAAAACAGCACGCCGACTTGTTGTGCTGCATGAGCTATGTCCGCTTTCATTCGCGCTCCTGCGGGTTACGTCCCTCTTCACGTGCTCACTCACTCAAGTATCCTGGGAACCTCCAGAGGTGCAGAGGGCCAACATGAGAAACCTCCATTTGCTTATTATTTCGCAGTTGTTTTCCTCCTTTTCGTTTGTTTTGATGCCACTTTCTCTGTATGGATTCCACCTTTCTTCCTTCCTTGGGGAATAGAGCCACCTCCGCTCGGGCATGATGCAGTACATGATGTGTAGATAAAGACAGTTAAAGATAAATATATATTATTCATAATTATTAATTGGTTTAAGGTGATTCCCTGTAGAGTCCACAAATGGCCGCCACGTAGGCTGTACAAGCACTTCCACTTCAAATTTTCACTTACACAAATCTCGGAAATTAATGCCGACGGTCAATTTAAAAGTATTTCAGTTGGTAGTACTGCCCCCTGTGGCGAACATAGTCAATTCCCTTGCGTTTGACACACTACCGCCATCTGTTCAGCATACTGCCCACCACAGTGTACTCAACAGATGGCGGTAATGTTTCAGCGACGATGTTGTACAATGAGAAATATTCAATGTGATATGTCTGTTTGTCTGTGGTTTCATTGTGGTACGTGTCGTGGAAGCTGATATTTGTGCACTTAAAGTTTCGAAGTGGTTACAAGAATAAGTATCTCACAACAAATCACCTTAAGGCATTTCCTAAAACAAATCATAACGAAAAAAAAACACAAGGCAAAAACGATCTGAAAATTAGAGATGAACTAGCCTAAGGCTAAAAATCTTTTAAATAAAGAATAAAAAAAAAAAAAAAGATCTGAAAACTTCTTACTTGCTCAGTAAACTGATGCAAAATTTGACTTTTTCGCTCCACAGTGCGTAAATGGTTTCAAATCGGGCCCTGATTAGCCTCCCAAAGTTACAACTCATTTGGTTTGAAACAGACTTCGCACAAGCCATTTGAAGTTAACATGTAAATTACTATAGGAAATATCAACTTTTTGTTCATTGCCTTCTAGTATTTTTCCATATTGAGCTGCGATGCAGTTCGATAGACATTCTTATATAAAATATTCTCAGTTACAACTTTGCTCAAGATCGTTTCTATGTAAAACGAGACAGGAAAAAGTTATTAATTATTTAAGAGATTGGTAAACTTATGACATGATCAAGCAGCTGCTCTGTAGGCAACACTGTATTTTGCAGTGTGACATAGTAGCCATGATTTTTGTGTCCTATTCAACGCCCCAGAAACACCAATGGTGCCTGCTGAGCAGTTGATTGAGCATGATCATAAGACATCAGCGCATTGAACCATTGATAACTTTCGATCCTTGCATTTAATCAAAAAATGGTCTTCAGCAAAGTTGTAGCTGGGAAAATTTCCTACAAGTACATTTGAAATTTTTAAAGCTGACCGATATGGTGAATTATTAGATAGACATGAACAGAAATCTTGGTTTTATCATAGTAATTCCCATACAAACTTCAAATGGTTTGTGCCATCTCAGTTTCTCACAAAATGGGTTCAAATTTTGAGAGGTTAGTCTCGGATCCTGGAATCGTTTTTGTATTGTGGAGCGAAAATTTCAAATTTTGCATCACTCTATTGCTCAGCCTTCATCTCCTACAAAATTAAATCGAACTCTATTTCGAAAATGTTATGAATCAACACACCACTGAATTCAAAATATTAAAACTGTGTACCGTGCGGGACCGAAATCCGTACACTTAAGAAATGAATCGAAATCCGTACACACCATACAAAACGCCTACTTTTTGCATGAGGTGCACGGACTTAGATCCTGCACGGATTTCGGTCCCGCACGGTACTGCTGTCTGTGCAATACAAGTTAGTTGGTATAACGCTCTTAATTGTCCATAACATATTAAATAGACAAAGCATCCCAAAGTAGACGGACCAATACCGAAAATCCCACGACCAAACCTTAAGAATGTCGCACCACAGAGCCCCCCACGGTGCACACTCAGTGAAGACATTTAAGTTGGTTGATACAGTATGTATACACAAATCAAATGCTCTAAATTGGCCATATGGGAATATTGAACACTATAAGGAAGCAGACAGCTATAAAGGACATTCCTACAACGCAAAACTACCACTACTAATCCATCTGAACCAGACCACAATAACCGTATTGTGCTTCCTCTAAGCCTAGAACCAATCCCTAAACCTAAACCTGTTTTAATTCACCTGAAATGACTAACGAATGGAGGACTTTGACTACCCAGCCATGCAATATGGCAACGATGGCAACTTGATGAGTTTATTGCGCTCATCTTCTGGCACCACCCAGGGGAGACTTGGTCCTGTACCCAATGCTTAACTTATCTCCATTCCACTCAGCTACTCGCAATTTTTTGTGATATATTGGGCGGAATATTATTATATGAGACAATTCAATGCAGACGTCTTTCCAAATTTGGCAGATCGACAGGTAATCGGTGAGTTACCACGATGGTTGCTAATCATCAACTCGACAATATCGCATCGTCAACGCCTGCTATTAGAATTTCCCATTGCAAACAATAACGAAATGACGTCATCGAGTTACCACCTAGTACCTTATAGCACGATGCTAGGAGGAGGACCGGAAGAATCGATGAGCACCTCCCACAAAAATAGCCAAATAGTGATAGAAATTGAAGTAAAATTAATGCATGAACTTTTGATTTTATAACACTTTATTCCACCGCTTTTTCGAGTGCCAATAAATAGAGTAAATTTTGACGCATAATTTTGGATACTAAAAACACAATTAGGCATAAAAACAAAAATCACATTCTATATAGATTGGATAAGCAGCATAAGTTCTTCCTTCAGATAGTCGACCAGTTGATGGGATTCATTTTCGTAGTTGAAGTTGAATACAATCGTTGGCACCAACTTCAGATCGTAGAGGGATCTGTCGAAATCGGCATCTGTGAATCGTTGTCCGGTGGGCGAGATCAGGGCAAATTCCGATGATTCGTGCATTAAACATGATTGGACAAACTCGTACACCTGGGAAAGCTTCTCGTACACGTTGAATGTTCCTTGAAGGAAAACCCCATTGGGAAAGCGGACCCTAATCAACGAAAACTTGTAACGATTTATAACACGAAGTTCTTCTTTTTCACGCATCGCTTTGGTTTTAAGTATTTGCGCTTGCTCCAAGGCTTCCGTGCGCAGTTGTTGTTCGCGTTTGATTTCTTCCGGAGATATACGAAAGAAATCCGCCGGAAGGTTCGATCTGCGAACCTGAGATGAAAGAAGCACTTGAATGTTTCGATCTAATTCCAGATGAAATGGCTCGGAACACTTAAGTGCATCTATGAGACTCAGCATTGTGGTTTCAGCTTCCATATTTTCTTCCGACCAAATCAGATACGGTTCATCGTCTATGGTTATTTCGGCAAAACCAGCTGCATGCAGTAAATCCAACGCTCCTTCGCAGATTCTAATTTTGTCACAAAACATTCTGTTGTTCATCCTGATTTTCTTGTATTTTTCTTCATTCGGATTGTTGTGAATGTTTTCTAAACATTTGATAAGGGTTTCTACACATGGTTCAAATTTTTCTTTGGGATTACAGTTGTATATAATTAAACATGCTGACAATCCTTTCTCGTGCTCCATCTGCTCGTACAGGAACTCTTTAATCTTTACTTTCCATTCTTTACGCGGGAGAATTTCTTCACTTATCAAAGGGCATCGGAAGAACACTCCCTGCACCGCCAGGTCTTTTCTATCATTTTCCGGAATGTTGTCTCCACTAGGAGTTTCTTGATCGAGCTGTTCTTTTACCTTGCGTTCACTTTCTAGCTCACGCCGAACTTGCGCCTTTATTGCCGCCAGAGATGTATTGAATTCTTTTTTATCCGTATTCTGCACACGGGCTAAGGCAGCTTCGGCAGCAGCTTTGGCTTCTGCTGACAGCTCCTTCCGTTTAGGTGGAACATAAACATCCCTAGACGATGAATGAGGCTTTTGGGATGAGCTAGGTTGAGGAACTTCGGAGTTTAGTTTACGTCCTGGGCCAGCTGCACCAAGCTTCAGCTTTTGCTTAGCAAAGAATTTTTTTAGTTTGTTGGACATTTTACACCTTGTTTATTTAAATTCTAGGACTATGTTCTTTTGGTAATTTGAGTCGTGCTACCGAAAGCTTAAGCTCTTCGATCTCCTTTGCAGTGCCTGAAATTTTATTCATTCGATTAGATAACGCTTTAAAATCTGTACCACTGAGGCACAAGGAACAAAATAATAAATCTAGCGTTGAAAATCAAAAGGGCTTAACTGCGATTCTCTTTGGATTACTACATTTAAATTTACGAAATTCCCGACAGGTTTCCTGATTATTTTCCAATGCAGACCCGTAAAACTTGTATTGGCTAGGACAAATGACAACAAACGCACCGACATATGGTCATTAGGTCCAGTAATTAACAATAGAGAAAATTGATCATCGCAGTTGGACCCTTATGATACTGAACACTAGTAACACTAATTTAACCTCGAGTAAAAATCGATACTCACTTGGACGAATAAAGCGATCGGTGATGATGGTGCCGTACTTTCTCCAGTAAAATCCTATGAGCAGCAAATTCACTCCAAGGATGATCAAAAACGTCTTACAAATATGTAGCTGGAATTCAGTGAACTCCAAAGGACTGCTTATAGATTCCAGCCACTGTTGAACCGTATCCTTCAGCAGACACCAGATGTTATTAATGACACCGAAATCAAACTGCTGCGTAGACTCCTGCTGGGACGAGAAATCCGTATCAAGAGTTTCTGTGCCGTCCTCGACAGCAGCCGATTGACCACCGGAATTTACAGCTAATGATGGACCGATTTGAAAGTATTTGAAGTATTCCGATAGCAAATACGTTATATTAAAAAACGACGGTACATTGAAGTTCATTTAGGCTGCTTGTTGTCGATAATTACGATTAAATTATTTTGCGAAAATGATGACATCGAACAGAAAATACTCTTTGTCGTCTTTTCTACTGCGATTTTTTTTTCAAAAAATGTCAAAGCTCGAGCAACATTCGAAAAGGGTCTACAAACCCAACGTAAACAATGGATTTGAATGTCGATTGCTCACTAATACAACACGCCCTCATAAGCTAACTATACAATTATGAAGAAAATACTTCCTCTACCAGATTAAAATTTTGTATATTCAAATTGTGTCTGAATGAGTCCTTATCAGCGAGAAATCGACATTTAAAGTCATTGCATACATTTGAAACATAGACTCTTTTCACAGTTCGCTCTAGAAAGATGTTGACATCATTCTCCCGCTGCAAATAAAACAAGCTGCTCAGACGTGTATACACTGAAACAAAATCCATTGGAAAAAAATAGTATATTGCAGGTTTAAATTAAGTACCGAGTGCTATTCAATAGATTTTTGCAGAAACAATTTCATATAATTTTACTATTATTTCTATCAAAATGTCTGTGCATTTTGAGCAAGCATAAGAAGTTTTGCCAGAATCATAGTAAATTTGTTAACATTCATAGTCAACTCGAGAGTCAACTATACCATAAGAGGCACAAACGAAATGACAGACGGAGCGGCTCGAAAACTTTGGTGACTAACCTGCTATTTCAATTTTTCAGTGTACCACATGGCAACACCACTACTACTGGATTGTACCACATGGCAACACTTCTACTGGATTGTACTACACGCTAACTTGAAAGTACCCATTAAATGAGTATCTTGTACTCATTTTTTAAATTTATTCTTAGCTGTCAAAAAATGGGTATTTTTACAAAATGAAAAATGTTTACTTTTTATTCATTTTTGAGAACATTGGCTTGAAATAAAAATGGGTAAATAATTCATTCATATTTCAATGCAAAAAAAGAGACGCCATTTTCGCATATCAGGAGGAAATTTTACGTGGTCGGGATTTATCGCGAGTTTTCCAACTATGGAAAGAGCGACAAAGCTAGTTGTTACAAGGTAGGGATTATATAGATGTGCGACATTCATACAAATTGTTCTAATAATGTGTTTCGTTTCAGGTTTGCTGAGATCTTCGAAGAATTTCACATTCATAAGGAACCGGACCCATTCGATAGCAGTATCCATCACGAAGAAGAACATTCATTTGTTGCTGATCATGCTGAGAAAACTGCATGAGCTGCAACCGACACATCGAAATGGTGATTGGATGGTGGAGGCCGTTGTGGGAATGTCCAGCACAACATTTCAATGCATTTTTCTGGGAGAAGCTTCCGCCAGGTGAATTTTTTCAGCTACGGTCTTGAGGACGTGGATGGAACTCTGGAGAGGTCTCCCGCCCATTTAGTCATAAATTCAACAAGAAAATTGAATTGTAATCGTTGATGATCAATATATGTACAATATAAAGAGTTTCAATCCCTTTTAATCTGTTTTTTTTTTTCACAATTTATTTCTTGGTTACATCTATGATGACAGGGTGCCCCATGAAGCAAAATTTTCAATAAAATGGGTACTTTCTACTCATGTATAGAATAAAAATGAAGGGTCAAAAGTACCCATTTTTTGAAGTATTCCTTGAATACTCATTAATGAGTAAAGCCGGTTTACTCATTAAATGAGTTAAGCCACTTTTCTATAAAATTGATGAATTTGTACTCATTAATGGGTACTTTCAAGTTAGCGTGTAGCATTTTCAACAAATGTATTAGAATGTTTTGGTTCTATCTCTTTCACTCTACTCAAAACTGAAATGCATAAAAAAATGACAAAATGATACACTCTTTGCACTCTGTCAAAGTATCATTGTACACCAAATCAACTATGTTCAAATCAAAACAATAAAACTAACCCATCTGGTGGATGATGGCACAAGCTTCCAAGAAAATTCTATTACAGTGAACCACATTATTTTAATGGATTTCTTCGCCAGTAAGTCGTCTGTCACTTTGTTTGTGATAGAGGTAACCTTAAGGCCAGAAGGTTTCGAAGAAACGAGCTCAACTTTTTGGCTCAGCTCTACACGGATAGAAATATCCTTATACCTTTTGGCAAATTTCTATTGCTAATTATTCATAAAATGTATAAGTCAACTAATAAGCAGACGCCTTGCAAAAAGTTAATGAAGATCATGTGTCAAATGAAATGTATAAGCGGTCACACATACCTTTAATGCATTCTTATAGGACCTATGTGGTTTGTCTTATGGAATGTATAAGGCTAATGTTTGGAAAAAATGTATAAGTGAAACACATGAATAAAATAATTGATTTTCGTTTCGTGTAGTACTACCTTCGGTCCCAAGCTAATCGATTCACCCCTCGAAACATTGGAAAATCCACTAACCCCTCATTTTGTCTGTCAACGTTTAATAGCAAATCAAAACAAACATAGTGTAGTACTAGAATTTCGACTAGAATGGGATACGTTAATCGTTTGCTTGGGACCAATAGGCTAGTCAAGTAGTGAGCCAATTTAAAATCGTTAGTTTCGTATTGATTGTTGACTATACTGAATTCATAGTAGATTTAACGGTAATAAGCGTGGTTATATTGAGGGTTATATTGAAAATGAGGGTTTTCAGCAAAATTGTATTTCCAAGGCTGTAAACCGTTTGCCGAGTTAAATTTAACTCGTGGTTAAAAATGACATTTCGAAAGCTATTTCTTATGTTCGAAAATCCTTGTGTTACCGATCGATCGGTTTTCAACTAGAACTCAGCCACGGTTGTCAACATTTAACTTCTTGTCGGTCAGAAATAACCACGCTCGGATAGCAGGGTTTATCGATAACTTTCGATCTGTAAAATTTTAACCAATATTTTAAAAAAATCCACCAAATGGTTCAGAGGTTGGCGCCGCCAGGATGTTCTGAGGCATAACATCTCCGATCACGCCTTCCTTCGGGGAAGTAAAGCCGTTGGTCTCTGGTTCATGAGTTGAAGGGTCGATAGGTAGGGTCCATGTTTGGGAGCTGCCTACCAGGCGTTGGTAGCATTGTTACTCAGCACGGAAACAAAATCGACGAAAAACAAATCAAGGAAAAAAAAAGTTTTTAATCTTATGTGTTATGGTTTTTTGGAAGTGGATTACAAATAATGGATTATTAAGAACCATTACCATTCAAAATCCAGCTTTCTATGCTCGGTAATGGTGGCCTGTTTGTATGAATAAATGTATACTTCACTGTGCTTTTTGACACTATATGGAGGTTCAGATTTTAACACCTCCTTTTCCCTCTCCCAGGAACAGAAGAAAATGGAACAACATACGCCTAAAGAGCCTAAATTTATTAAGAGGCGATATGTCAAAATTGGAACAATCGATTGTCTGTCAAAGTCATAGGAAAAGTAATTCCAATCGAGCAGAAGACCTGTCAAATTGATAAGATGTCGTCTCTTTATAAATTCAGGCTCTTTACATACGCCCTCCAGTTACTGTCAAAAAGTACAGAGGAGGATACATTTATTCATACATACAGGCCGCCATTACCGAGCCTGGAAAGCTGGATAGTTGTTTTCTCCATCACTGAGAGAATTGCTCGCTCAAAAGTAAGCCAACATAAGGCTACTTAGGCTGCGTTCCATTTGGTGAATTTTCACTTAAATTTGACAGATGGAAAATTTTCAAATAAACCTGCTATTGTACCAGACTTATTTCTGACAGACCAGGAATCAATTTTGACAAACACCTTCTCGAAAATAGTAAGATCAACAACAGAGGGATTTTCGAACATCTTAATTTATTTTCGAAGTGTCAAATTTAAGTGAAAATTCGCCAAATGGAACACAGCCTTAATTTTAAGTAGCTCTACTTGCCGCTGAGATGAGTTCATTAGACACGTTTTGATTTGACCAGATTAAGCGTGTATATCGGCAGTGCCCAATTCTATATTTTACATTTGCGTCGCAGCCATATCTTTTACTGTTGGCTGTTACTGTCACATGACTAAAATTTTTGACATTTTTTACTTCATCTCGGGAATCGTCAGAGTCTTGTGATCAGTTTCGAAGCAGTTTGTGGAAATTTGCGAATTTTTGCTGGAGAAAAGTGCAAAATTCTCATTTCTTAGGCAGATAAGTCTTTAATCGAACTGCAACAATGCCGATCTGTGGACCAAAACTGTCTCTTTGCGGACTGATTGTCTCCGTTTGGGGTATCATCCAGTTGGTAAGTATTCTGCTCCTGCGAGCAGATTGCTGTGAGTCACAGATTTGTTGTCCTTGTATGTTTATCCTGGATGTAATCGATTATCCTTTTGCCGTTTCAGCTGCTGATGGGTGTCTTCTATTATATCCACAGTGTGGCCCTGATCGAAGATCTTCCTCTGGAAGACCATTATCCAACTCCGCAGGAGTTTTACGCCGCAGCTGATCGGGCTTATAGTCAGGTGATTGCCTCAAGTGTTCCATCATGTTACATTAAATTTTTTATCTTGCAAATCGTTCAATGGGTCTCTTCAAAAAATTTCTCATTGAATCACCATCCCTCTGCTTATCACCCCAACTAGTTTTATGTGATATGGTTGTACCATTTCTGATATCGTTAATGTATGGTGCTTGTTTAGAGATTAGTCATTCTTTCTACCATCGCTACAAATGTTTTTATCGCACAATACGATCAAGAAAGTAATTATCCATCATCTAGTACGAAAGAAGAGAAACATTGAATCCTTTGCGTTGCTCTACTTAATATTATTTCAATATATAAACATTTTTCTTCGTATTTCAGAATGCTTACAACTGCTGGATCGCTGCATGCATCTACGTCTTGACTCTGGTGGTTTCCGGCCAGCAATTCTACGCCAATAGTCGTTCAACTGTCGCTTAAGCAGATGATTCGTTCATTTGCATAATTTATCTTCAAAAACAGTCAACTCCGGTTACTTTTATTTGATTTACAATTGTACATAAGTTGTCTTTCTATTAATTTTCAAAATGACTGTTTTTGTTCTCGTAAAGTCACCAATAAAAATATAAACTGGAACCACATTCCATTTTTTTTTTAAATTTTGGGTTGCACCAACTATAGTTTGTTACGTTTATATTTTGCTCTTCTCACATTATTATTCAATGCACAGTAGTTGAACACCTAAGCAGTATCGTTTTCTGTATTAATATATCAATGTAACTATCAGTGGTATCAAGATGTAGAATACGAAATAGAAGTCAAATATTAATTTTTTTTCAGTATACCTCTATTCAAATTGTTTTCAAATGTTACATTGGCTGCATAGAAATGGTATTCTCATGTATATTAGAATCTATATATTCAATGATTTTTTATGTACAAAATGAGTTCTAAAAATGCGTTAAACGGACTAATTTACTCGTCTAAGATAACTGCTGCACATATTCAACTATCTGCACTATTATTTCACTGATAAATGTCTGAAAATAAAACTTTTGCTTAGATCCATATGACTAGTGAATGAAGATCCAACAATGATCAAGAGTTACTTCACCGCTTACTACAAAAAAAATAAAATTAAAATCTACATAACGACAAATAGGGGAAATGGATGTAATGTCGGCCTAAATGCCCCTAATTTGGGCCCATACATAAATTCAGCAATGGACTAAATTTTCAATAGCGACCAAAAATATCCATTAGTACCGCCCCAATGACGCCTTCATCTAGATAAAATTGATAAATAGCAGATGGGCCCAATCTTAGATCCATAGGCCAACATTAGAGCCATTTCCATTAGAGCCTTTCAAATTTATAAAGTTGATTTTTACAGAAGTTAGGGGAACTTCATAGAAGTACAGGGAACTTCGTAAAAGTTATGGAATCGCTGTTGAACTTCATAGATTTTCGAAGATCTTCAGAAACCTTACCGACGGGGAGTTTGGTAAAGGATATGATGAACCCGTTTCGTACCTTCCTCAAAATTTACCTTAGCTCGCTTTCTACTCTCTACACGGAGAACAAATTCGTTAAGTTAAGATAACAATCCTAATAGTTACTTTCACATGGAAAAATATTGCTGTTTGAAAGAAACCTATAGTTATTCCACCGACAAACCGACATGACACTTAATTCTTACTTATGCCCGAAAATCGTAAACGGTCGATTTAAATGTGCAGTGTCAAAACCATAGGATTGTTTGATCTAGATAAAAATAATTTGTCCAGAATAGATTAGATACGAACCAATTCATAACTTTTGCATGCTCATGGGTCCCCATAATAAAAATTGTATGGTTAATTTGCTTAACGACGTGTTCTGGGTATCATCCAAACCATTTGTGGAATAGTTCAATGATTTGGGTTATCGTTCGTTTATGGTTATTTTTTATTAGGGCCATGGCTTAGCTAAATATTACCCGCGAACCCGGAGCCAGATGTCATTAGTGTGCTTTGGTCAGAAATGTTATTGTTTTTGCTATGGTCATACATGTCGGTTTGTCGGTGGTTATTCCACCGACAAACCGACATGAATGACCATACAAAGTATCATAAAATTTCTGATCAAAGCACAAAATTGACATCTGCCGCCGTGTTCGCGAAAAATGTGTAGCCTAGCCACGAACACACATACAGAATGTATGAGATGGTTGGTGCCTAATCTATTTTGGGCAAATTATTGTTATCTAGATAATAAAATTTATATGGTTTTGACAGATGGGATTGCTGCACATTTGAATCCGCCGTTATGCACGCAGAAAAAAAAATATTTTAAACGTAATATTATATTTCACGTAAAATCAATCAGAATTTCATTTTGGTTTGGCTGCAAAAAAGAAATCATTATTATTTCAACAATCCAGTATCTTTGTTTCTAAAAACCCATGGATTCTTAAATCAAAAAGAAAATCTTTTCGAATTTACAAGAGCTTTCATGGTTTTGACGTGAGCTGTCAAATTTGGCAGCTGAATCAACAACAAAAAATTTAATTTTAAAAGAGATTTCTTGTTGATTCAATCATATTTATTTTATTAAGCCTGAAAATATACGCAGTAGAAATAACAATATGTTTATTGATTCATTGTTTTGTTTTCTTTTAGTATCAATCAAAATTACAATTGAATTAAAAAAAATTATGGTTATGGTTAAAAATGGTTATGGAACTTTACATGAACGTTTATGTGATAAAGTTTTAAGCTTAGCGGCGCCGGTGGTGTAGTGATATGCGTGATTATCTCTCACCCCAGCAGGCCTGGGTTCAATCCCAGTCGGCGCCGCCGGGATGTTCTGAGGCATAACATTTCCGATGACGCCTATCTTCGGAAGGGAAGTAAAGTCGTTGATCCCTGGTTTATGAGTTGATGGGTCAATAGGTAGGGTCCAGGTGTGGGAGCTGCCTTCCTGGCGTCGGGAGCATTGGTACTCAGTACGGAAAACAAGATCGACGGAAAAAATAAAGAAAACTGTTTATATTTCGCAACTGCAGCATGCTTATTTACCTCAAGTTTCAAGATTTTCGGAAATCTTGCGCTTATTTCGCGAAATTCACTGTTAAAAACAATATTCACGTCTAACGCGGAAAAAAACTGAATCAAACGAGAACAGTTTTGTGTTATTGTTTACATTTTTGTCCGGGAACGAGGGAATGGTTGGTGTTGGTAGTTATTTTTGCAATCATGGCCCGGGGAACGGACCCAACAAATAAATGCTAAATTAAATTAAATTTGGTTGGCTTAATAAAAGAATATTGTTATTTTAACAATAGTTGAAGTTGAAGAGTGGCTTGTTAAAATAAAAAGAATCTTATTTTGAATTTATTTGAATAAGTATTATCGAAACAATAAAACGCAATATAATTTCAACCGGAATTGTTTGTTTAAATACAAATAAAGTTTTTTTTTGGTTCATTGCAAACAATTTTCTGTCCGTGTGGATTCTCGATCAAGAGTTACACTGAAACAAGGACCATAGTTAGGAATACTATTTTGCAGAAAGCACTTATTATCAATATAACCACGCTTATTGCTGTTGAATCTACTATGAATTCAGTATAGTCGACTATGAATGTTAACAAATTTACTACACGCAGAGAAATGATTTTTTAATTTAAATGGATATATTTTTGGCTCAGGGCCTAATATATTTTTGGTATTGATTCAAATATATTATTCGGTTAAATCAAAGAAAAATATGTGTGAATCAACAAACCGGTTATAGAGTCAATAATCTGTTTGTTGATTCTAAAAACCGTTTTGTTGATTCAAAAATATGTTTTGTTGAAATAATGATACAATATGTTTGAATCAATAACAAAATACATTAGGCCCTGAGACAAAAATCCATTTTTCTGTGTGTATGATTCTGGCAAAACTACTATGCTTGCTTAAAATGCATAGTAATTTTGATAGAAATAATAGTAAAATAAAATGAAATTGTTTTCTGCAAAAAATCTATTGGTGAGGGTATTTAATCTAAACCACAAACGAAGTGACAGACGACTAACTGGCGAAGAAATCCATTTAAATAATGTGGTTCACTGTAATAGAATTTTCTTGGAGCTTGTGCCATCATCCACCAGATGGGTTAGTTTTTTTGTTTTGATTTGAACAAAGTTGATTTTGTGTACAATGATTCTTTGACAGTGTGCAAAAAGTACGTAACATTTTGTCATTTTTTTATGCATTTCAGTTTTGAATAGAGTGAAAGAGATAGAACCAAAACATTCTAATACATTTGGTGAAAATGCTAGTACAATCCAGTAGTAGTGTTGCCATGTGGTACAATCCAGTAGTAGTGGTGTTGCCATGTGGTACACTGAAAAATTGAAATAGCAGGTTAGTCACCAAAGTTTTCGAGCCGCTCCGTCTGTCACTTCGTTTGTGATCTAAACTAGAGTCGGTGTATAATGAGTCACGCCAAGAGAAAAACAGTTGAACTCGCATCACGGTTTTCGAAGGATTCCCTTTCTTTTCACTTGGCAACAGAGGACGTCTACATCAACTTCAAATGACTTCTAGCGAGAGAAAAAATATTGCGACTGTAGTAAATCATTATATCAGTGATTTTGTCAAATTATCTTAACAAAAAATAGTAGAAATTCTCATTACTAATCATTACCGAGCGTATCCCATGACAATTTAACGCTCACTGCGTGTTTATGCTCATTTCTTCGATTATATTTTATATTTTATTGCAATACCTTTCGTGGACCTTTCATAGCATCGTAATGTTTATTTACTTTGCACGATAGGTAGCCGGTTTGACAGTTCAATAGGTAGACTTGGCTTCACTCTTGGCGTGACTCATTATACACCGACTCTAATCTAAACCATCAATATAGTATTTTTGCCAATGAATTTTGTTTCAGTGTAAGTTTAAGTTGCATGTCTGTTTGTCGGTGGTTATTCGTGGTTATTCCAACATTAATTTGACCGTCAACTCATACCTACCTAATAGATTCAACTGTTTATCTTATACTCAATTCAACTATAAATTTGATCAGTTATAACAACCGTCAAATGTAATTTATTAATATAATTTGGTTTCAAGTGATCATCATAAATCCACATTCTTGAAACTTGTGATGCGTAGAGCAGGCGATAAGATAGCTGGCTCTCACGCAGATGAACACGGTTCAAATCTAAGTTGAATGTTCTTGTTCACTATTTTTTATGATTTTCCTGTTGTGTTTTTGAGATCGATAAAGAAGCAAAACAAACTTCCTTAATATGTCGATAATGAAGAGCAGTTTGTTTAATAAACATTGTAAAATTTTGCTCCAATAACAATAGTTTTCTTAAATCAACTAAAGCATAGTTGTATCATAGATGTAACTCTAAGACTAGAAGGTCCCGAAATAACGTGCTCAACTTTTTGGCTCAGCTCTGGTACTATCTTCGGTCCCAAGCTATTCGATTCACCCCTCGAAACATAGGAAAAACCAATCACCCCTCATTTTATCTGTCAAACTTTCATACCGAATCAAAACAAACATTGCGTAGTACTAGAATTTCGACTAGAATGGGATACGTTAATCGTTTGCTTGGGACCAATAGGCTAGTCAAGTAGTGAGCCAATTTAA